ATACAATTAAAAACTTCTCATGTTCTGGAATATTGTCTGGTGGGTCTCCATCCAAGTCTTGATCTTGTTTTGGGTCCTGTATCTCACCCATCTCCATTTCTTTTTCTAGTCTTTATCGAATTGGGAGGAACGAATCTATACGAGGGGCTGCATCGCTGCCCTGGAAGCCTGGCTACCCAGAAATATTTATATCATCGCAGGCGCCTTCATTGCGATTTCACTATTGCAGGTGAGCGACTGCAGGCTACATATTTAATTTATGCATTTCCCGACTTGCCAAGGATCGTCCACCATCCCCATTATCTGCAAGAGATGGTCTGCAACACATTTAGTTACAAATGAGTTTGAGCTGTAAACTTCACAGCGTGTCCTGTTTTGTAGGCCAAATGGGCTTTGGGGTTTTCTCACATTTTTTTGAGCATAAAAGATGCCTTGGAAAGAGAACAGGATGTGAAGTTTTGCTCTGAATGCAGCTTGAAGCCTGATAATTTGAGCACCACTACGATTTGTGTATTTCCTACTATGGGGACACCAAGTTAGAGCATTTTAATGGTGTCATTCAAAGAGGCTGAGTTTTATCTAAAGTGGAGTAGAATGTAGAATGAGGAAATATACAGCTCTTCTTTTTTTATATACTGCCCTGTTTTGCTACTGATGAATTCTTGGCCACAGTAAAGGCCAGATTATAAAAAATGAGCTGCCTGCTGCTTTGGAAAACTTCCATATATTAGGCCGCAAAACCATTTCTAGAGGTAGAGAGTCTGTGAAAATCCACAGATTTCAATCATTTCAACAGCAGAAGAGGTTCCCTTTTATAGCTTCTGGGTAGCTGAGCTTTCGGTTTATATTTTTGTTTTTAAATATCTCAGCATTCCCAGACAAAGACTGCAGAGAGTTAGTTCGCTGAATCCCACTGTTAGGAGTTACCCATAAATTGTGAAGGTTTGTCATGTGGGTGAGACTGAAGTCCCATCCTCTCTCTAAAACTGGGATTGCAAAAGTTTGCAGGGAAGTAGAATTGTAGCATAGAAATTGACAAAGCTATTCTATAAATTTTTGAGCAATATATCCATTTATTAAGAGACAGTTATTAAAACAGTGGTTGTGTCAGTGCTCCAACTAACCAACTCCAAACCATTAAATTCCGAGACAAACAATCCCTCAAATTTCCATTTTATTTGAGTTGTCATATTGGCACATCTGGAAAAACCCAAATCTGAGAGTTCTGGGTTTTCCCTTCTCAAAAGAAAAATCAAAGATCCATCTCCTGCACCCATCAGTCCTTCACGTGGCCCAATCAGATCTTCGTCCCAACTGGAGACTTTTCTCCAGACACTCCTCTCTGGGTGCAGGGAAACATGTCCTTGACTCTCTGAGAAAAGAATGTTGCCGTTTAGTCTTCCAACACTCTATGAATTCCCCCCTCCCAAATTCCCAGGCATTTAATGTGGCAGCCTCTGAGCTTCCAAATAAAATATGGCTTCCAAGGCTGAGAGTGGGTGATGGGAGTTCACCCCTCCAAGCAATAGGGGTGAACTCTACTGGGTCTTGAACCAGGCTTGCTAACCTCCAACCCAGTGTCGTAACCTTGTGAGCCAACATGTTCCTGTTTCTCTGGGTATAATGACTTTTACCTGGTTGACTGATCCTCTGTATATGTTTCTTCTTCCACGATACTTCTAGGTTTTCCCCCCTCCCAAATTCCCAGGCACTTAATGTGGCAGCCTCTGAGCTTCTGAGCGAAAAATGGCTTCCAAGGCTGACAGATTGTTTAAACACCTGCCATTTTCCTTACCTGTTCCTACTTTGCTTTTCACAGCTTATTTAAATGGTTCCCTCAACCATAATAATTGACCAAATCTCCCTTTAATATTCCGTTATTGAACACAGAGAAGGTTTCAAGGTTTTTCTGATTTTACTAGGAGTGTTTTGAGCTCAGAATACTCCTGGTGGAGTAAGAAAACTGCTGGAGGTTTTCTGCTTGAGGTTGGAAAACAGGCTATTCTTGATTCTTCTTCATACCTAGCACAGTCCCTCCTTTCACCTTTAAAAGCTTGAGAAGAAGACAGTGGAGGAGTATGGAAACACCACCATCTCGTTCAAAGTTGGAGAGATATCACCAGTTTCAGAAATACCAGGGCAGAGGTTCAGCCAGATGCCTTTTTTTAGAACCTGGTCCCAAAGGTGCTTTTTTCCCCTGAAAAAAGCAACTGGACTTTCTTGGTTCCTTTGAAAATGTTTCGCTTCCCATCCAAGAAGTTTCTTCAATTCTCAGGAAGCTTCTTGGATGACGAGTGAAATGTTTTAAAAAGTGGAAAATCAAATTGTTTTGGGGAAAAAAGTCCAGTGGGACAACCATGAAGAATATCCATAGATCTTTTACTTTCTATTTTTGTGGGGCATTTGAAAGTGGAGCATTTTGAATTCAAAACATTTTATGTGCCATGAAACAACATGAAATATTAATTATGTGCCATCAAATACATGTTGACTGTTAGCAACAACATAGATAAATTGGCAGCCTCCAAACGTTTGGGTAGCAGGACCAGTTCCATGGAGAGACGATGGGGTTATGCTTGTTTGCATGGACTGGTTTCTGGCATGCCATGGACCAGTTCTTTCTCCTTCCTACCTCCTCCTCCTCTTCCTTTTTCTTTCCTTCCTTCCTTCCTTCCTTCCTTCCTTCCTTCCTTCCTTCCTTCCTTCCTTCCTTCCTTCCTTCCTTCCTTCCTTCCTTCCTTCCGATCAGTTCTTTCTCCTTCCTTCCTCCTCCTCCTCTTCCTTTTTCTTTCCTTCCTTCCTTCCTTCCTTCCTTCCTTCCTTCCTTCC